AGAAGAAGTGTAGGCAGTACGGCTATACGCAATTCCTCGTGTAGGCTGCACGCTCGGGACGAGCTTGAGGCATGCTATGTCCATGAGATAGCTAGGAGATAGAGAGCGAGAGATAGCGAGAGAGCGAGCGAGAGAGAGCGAGAGATGGGAGGACAGAGTCAGAGAGGGGGGGGGGAGAGTTGGAGAGAGAGACGAGAGAGAGAGAGAGAGAGAGAGAGAGAGAGACGAGAGAGAGAGAGAGAGAGAGAGAGAGAGAGAGACGAGAGAGAGAGAGAGAGAGAGAGAGAGAGAGAGAGAGAGAGAGAGAGAGAGAGAGAGAGAGAGAGAGAGAGAGAGAGAGAGACGAGAGAGAGACGAGCTAGGAGAGAGAAGAGAGAGAGACGAGCTAGGAGAGAGAGAGAGAGAGAACAGACAAATTTACAGACGGGTGCGCGATTCCTCGAACGTGCAAGCGTGGAACCACGAGCGCTGTTGCGCTGGCAAGCCAGCGCAGACAGCCCCGGAGAAAAATCAATTTGATCATTGTGCCGGTCAGTGACCGGCATACCAGAGATCAAACTGATAAGAACAGATACTACACTTGATCTTAGCCAAGAGGCCGAGAAGAGTGAAGACGCTGCTGTGGAACGGGGGCCTCTTGAAGCGGCCCGCCGCCACGTGCCTTGTGGGTGTGCCCGCGCTCAGCGTCGGCCTCCCCCTCGGCCGCCGCTCCGCTCTTGTCACCGCGGACACCCGGGCTCGCCGCTCGCCCGCCCCTCTCTCGCCGCGCACCCTCGCCGCGCCCTCGGCCGGCGCGCCGCCTCGTCTCGCTGCGTTGGCGAGCGCAAAGGACAGCAATGCCTGGTCGGCCGCCGCCGCCGCGGCTTCCCGCCGCAGACGCGTCGACCGGCATGGCCGCCTCGCATCGCCACACGGACGAGTACATGGCGCGCTTCTACGCGGCGCTCAGCCTCGACGCCGCGGACGTCGATCCGCACGCCCTTGCGCACGAGCCAGCCTTCTCGACTGCGCCAAACGCTCGGCCGCTCGGCAGCGGCGCCCGCTCCACTGGCGTCACCGATCCTCCCCTCGGCCCGCCCCCTCTGCTTTCCGGCTCCGCCGCCCTGGCGTGGCTGGCTGGCCCCGACCGGCCACCCGTCCGCGCCCACGACGCCTCCGACCGCCCTCTGCTCTGCCTCTCTGTGTCGGGCGACAGCGCCGTGGCCGGAGGCGCCGACCACTCGCTGCACGAAGTCGACCTGTCGGGGTGCTGGAGCGAGTGCGGCGGGCCGGCGCGCGCCGACAAGGCGGCCGGCCGGGCGGCGGACCAGGGCGGCGTCGAGCCTGTGGCGCGGGCGGAGCCTCGCCGCAAGAGGCGATCTTGGGAGAGGGAGAGGCAGAGGCAGAGGCAGAGGGAGAGGGAGGGAGGCAGAGAGGGAGAGGGACAGAGAGGGAGAGGGACAGAGAGAGAGGGAGAGAGAGAGAGAGGCAGAGAGCCAGAGGGAGAGAGGGAGGGAGAGGGAGAGGGAGAGGTTTAGAGACAGGCTCGTGCCGCTCCGCAGACGCGCGCCCGAGATTTGCCCACACCTCCCCTCGCCTACTGCTCACCTCCCCCCTCCTTTCCCCCTTCCCCTTCCCCCCCCCCCCCCCAGGACACTCTACACGCGCAGCTGCGGCCACTCGGACGGGATCACCTGCGCCGCACACGCCGCTGACGGGCGACGCCTAGCCAAGATCGGGCCGAGATTGCAGTAGCGAGATCGGGCCGAGATTGCAGCGGCGAGATTGCAGCGGCGTCGGTCTCGCGTCGCGTGCGTCTCTGTCTCTTTTCTGCGGCGGCGGAGGTGCGGCGGCGGAGGTGCGGCGGCGGAGGTGCGGCGGCGGAGGTGCGCCGGCGGAGGTGCGGCGGCGGAGGCACGCCCTCTCTGGAAGTGTCTCGGAAGTGTCTCGGATGTCTCGGAAGTGTCTCGGATGTCTCGGAAGTGTCCTGCAGGCGCGGCGCAGCACGCCCTCTCTGCCTCGTACGACAAGTCGATTCGCCTGTGGAGCCTCGACCGGCCTGCAGAGGCGCACACGCACACGCACGCACACACGCACGCGCACACGCACGCACACGCACGCACACGCACACACACACACACACACACACACACACACACACAACTCACCTGCCCGCACTGGGCCTTGCACTTTGAAAGTGCCGTGCCTCTCGCCGCACCTCGTGAAGACAATGAGATGCGGCGGCGCTTTTGCTGCACCCTTCCACCCCCTTCCCCTCACCCTCCCCGCACTCTACCCGCACCCTTCCCTCACCCTTCCCGCACCCTTCCCGCACCCTTCCCGCACCCTTCCCTTACCCTTCGCGGCGCCTTCCCGGGCTAGGCCAGTAGCGCTGCCTGCCTGCGCGGCCACCGTGCGCCCGTCCTCAAGCTCGTGTGGGCGGCGGAGCTGCTCGCGTCGGCCGACCGCGAGGGCGCGATCTCCCCATATCTCCCCACATCTCCCCATATCTCGCGTCGGCTGACCGCGAGGGCGCGCGCCGTCCTCCTGCCCTCTCTGCCTCTCCGCCCCCCCCCCCCCATCCTAAAAAAAAAAAAAAACATAGGGAAACAGGAAGTAGGTGCCTAAGAC